AAGATGAAAAAAGAGGAAGAGGAAGAACTAGAGTGAGAAGGAGAAAAACAGGGAGTGAGGGCAGAAGCAAGAAAGGGAGAGAGGAAAAGAGGTAATGATAGATAGATAAATAGATGACAGAAGGTTTGGGAGCCAGAAGGACTAGAAATACCAGTCCCCCACTTCCTGTGCACACTAGCAAGTAAGTTTCCCTCTCTGAATCTCAGTTTTCACACCTGTGAAGTTAGGGTCATCATACATTCTCATGGGGATGAGGAGAAGGTGAAGATACTGGGATGGGATGCATGTGAAGTCCCCGGTCTAGACAAGCAATCATGAGGTGGGCGCCTCCTCCCTGTTCCCCTCGTTGTCCCCCAGCATCCTAGGATCCTCCACTTCATTGGCTGGGATAGTGCCCAGAGGAAGACTGCTCCTGGGGTTATGACTGGGCACTTTAGGGGTGCTAACAGCAAGTATATGTGGGCAGTAGACATCTGGGGTCTTCTCCAGCATACCTGGACACCCATGTGTGTCAGTGGACACCAGGAGGCAGGTCCCTGCAGTCCCAGCAGGGAGCAGTTGAGAGAATTGAGCAAATATCTTATTATCAACTTTCTTACTCAGCACCCCAGCCTGGGGCAACCATCCTGGCCTCTTCCCACTTCCCCAAAAGCCCAATATAAGGACTGCCTCTGGGACCCAGCAGTCAGAGACACCAAGAGTGGAGGTCTCTGACTCTTGAGAGGTGAGTGCTCCCCCAGCTGCCAAGGGAGGAGGGTTCCAAGGCTTGGAAGGAAGCAGAAGCCTATATGGCAAACACCTAGGAGGCCTGTCCTTAGGACCCTGATGACCACTGTCCTTCCTCTCTGTCCTCATTGTAGTAATATGTGCCCTGACCCAGGGTAGCCCTTTTTCTGCAGAGGCAAGAGTCTGGGCTGAGTGTGGTCCTAGGGGCCAGTGATCGAATGCTCAGGTAAAACGGACTTTTCCTGCATCTCCAGATCAGCGTGTGTTCACTGGGGGAGAAGGAAGCTCTCTAGTTTGCCTTTAATCATTGCATGTCTGTGTGTGACAGGGGCTGTGCAGACCAGTGACCAGACCCAAGGCCGGAAGTGAAGCTGTGTCCGTGCCACAAGAATAGTGAATATGAAACTCCCCCTGCTCCTGCTGCTCCTCCTGCTGGGGACAGTTGCTGCTTTTCATCTGGGTAAGTCCTCCCTTCCATTTTCATCCAGCTTGACCCCTTTTCTTCTTTCTGGCAGCTCTTTTGCTCTCTGGGTCAGGGCCACACCTTTTTTTTCTTTAGTGGACCCATCCCCTCAGGGGTAAGATCTCTCCTGGACTCAGAAATGTGACCTGAACAATCTGTCAGGGCTCCTCCTCGAGCAAAAACCACCCACCTTCTCAGAGGTGCTTCTTCCTACCCCGAAATACACACCTGTCAGCCAGCGCCAGGTGCTCACCCCTTTGTGTGAGTTCTCACCTCACCCCACAGGGAGGAGATCCTTCTGGCCTAGGCTCCAGAAGGAGGCACTAGGAAGGCTTGAGTGGGGCTGTCGGAGCTGTCCGTGGTCCTGGAAGAAGGGGACCCCTGACATGATGGTAGGTTACCTGTTCTTCCAGGGAATGTAGGTTACCTGTTCTTCCAGGGAATGATGCCACCTATCAGGACAGCCAAGAGTCACAGGCAGACCTGAGCCAGGATCTGGAAGGCTCTGGGGAGCAGGAGGGTGAGGCAGTCCTGACTGAGGAGGCGATTCAGTCTGAAGGAGAGCAGGTGAAGGCTTCCAGCCTCAAAGATGCCTTTGAGGACAAGAAGGCCATGGAGTCAGACCCAGGTGCCCTTGACAAGAACTTGCAGTGCCCCAGGGCCGAGGACACGGTGGAAATTCGGGGCGGTCCTGGGTGCAAGACCTGCCAGTACGTGTTGGTGCGGACTGTCTTAACATTTGCAGACGCTCAGGTAAGTGGCAAGGAGGCTGCTGTGGAAGGAGGACCAGGGGCAGGAGAAGAGAGTGGGTTCCACCTCCTGTTCCCTATTCATTTACACTAGTGGTTCTCAAAGGCTAGTGTGCAGCAGACTCTTCTATAGGTCTTGTTGAAGCATGGATTTCAGGGTTATCAATCCTGGGGTGGGTCCTAAGAGTTTGCATTTTGGACCAAGTGCCAGGTGATAATGATATTGTTGGTCTGGAGACAGTACTTTAAGAATCACTGATTTGGACAAAAAGGCTTTGGTACTAGTTATACCTGTGTTAAACCCTGGATCCATCTATCATTGTCAAGTTACCTGGGCAAGTCACTTCACCCTTCAGAGATTCGGGATCTTCACTTGTACAATGGAGATATATAGTAGCAACCTCTTAGGTTGTGGTGAGAATTAAATGAGATAATACATGGAAAGCATTTGGAACAGTCTTTAAGTCATTGTGAACTCCCAGTAAATGGTGCCTAAGATTATTCTAAGTATTATTATTATTTCTTGCAAGAAGTTCCCAGTGACAGATTTCTGACCTGACCAGGATTGTGAACTCCCCTGGAGACTCAGGAACTTGAGGGAAAATACTGCAGTGAATTCTCTATTCCACCTCTTCTTTCTGCAGAACACCTGCAGGAGGTGCTACAGAGGCAACCTCGTCTCTATCCACAACATCAGCATCAACATTTATGTCCAAACGTTGGCCAGGCTGCTGCATGTCTGGATTGGAGGTGCCAGGGGGA